GATCGTGCCGCTTCCATACCGCCCCCTCCGTTCGTAACCATCTCTCCTCCATCAACTTGCACCGAAACCGCGACTTCTTCGCCCTCCACCTCATTGTCTTCCCCTAAACTTTCAAAGTTGCCATGGAGAATCATCATGGCCGTCCCCTCAATTCCAGCGTATTTATCCAGTCGCCTAAAGACCTCCCTCAGATATGGCCCTTCCACGCACCGACTAAACAAAACACGTTTTGCATACTTGACGTCATGCGTATCGATGTTGAACCTGTTGTACTGAATACTCTCGCTCGCGTACACTTCTTTGAGCTCCTCAAATTCGTGCCTGGAAGCTTTGGGTCAGCATTGATACGATTACCAACGATCCTTGAAGTCCAAACAATGAGAAAGGCGATATTATAAAGGCAGCTAAAGGTGAAGATGCAACTCACTCCTGCAGTCCCAGTAGCGTAATGCTATCCAAAGCCGTCAACCCCGGCAACATCATGGCCTTCAGCAATGCAAACTTGGTCCCCGTACCCAACAAGGAGCTCCAGGTATTCCAGAGGAAAGCTCGATCTCCAACCTGAAACCCTGCGTTCTCGCCAGGGGGTAATCCACGAGTGAGTGTCTGGAGCGTGTACGTCGCACCCGCGCCACTTCTCGTCTGTCCAGGTTCGAGTTCGAAGTCGGGTTTGGCGTCGAAGAAGTCTGCGCTGACTTTGATTTCGAGCTCCCAATGCTCGAGCTCTTTGCTTGAGGGTGAGTAGGGTGAGATAAAGAGGGTGGTGGAGTTGGCTTACGCTGACCGACTGGCTCCTCTTCTACATCCATCATTGTTTTTGTCGTGATGTTTTATCGTTGTATCGTTGTATCGTTGTATCGTTGTATCGTTGTATCGTTGTGTCGTTGTGCTGGCTTGCTTGCTTGGTTGCTCGCTCACGCGTTGTTGTGCCGTCAATGGAAATGAATCTTAGTCGGCGAAATTACACGCGATGCTAGAGCCGATAGAAGTGAATACCTAGCGAGGCGAGTGATGAATATGACGTACCAAGACGGTATAGTAATAATTCAAGTTGCAGTGAAGGTGAATATGTTGGTACCTCTCTCTCCTTTGTTGAGATTCCCGGCAGATATAGCAAGCTTATGGACGTTCTCCGAGTTTGGAAGGAGCGAAGGGGTACAAACCGCGCGCCTGCTTTGCAATAAGCTACATAGACACAAAGACAGATAAAGGCTCAAATTTTAGCAGTTGTGAGAAGGAGTCAGTCTTATTAAAACACGCAGAAGCGTCACATCCTTTCGCATGCGCCTATTCTGGAGAATAAAAAAAAATCAGCAGATCTCGATTCTGGAAAGTGCTTCTGCAGCTCTGCTTCCGCTCCCGCCCACCAAAACATCAAAGTAAACAAAAGGCGAAAACGAATTCCTCTTCTCCACGCTCCCCTCCTTAAAATATCCTTAACTCGATTATAATTAGCTTCAATTCCTCGAAATCACTGCCAAGATAAATAGACTGACTGGACCGGGCCCACAAAATAACAGCCCCTTCCTCTATATAGATGAACGTACGTTGACCCAATAGAATTATCGTTTATATGTGTGTGTGTGAAGATCACTAAGAGCCTACATGAAGTGTTGAGCAGCAAGTTCCCGCCAAATTAAACAAGTACACTGTAGTTGACGAAAATCTCCATCACATCGCCAGTTGAGCGAGCTTATATGAGTGTATGGATCATCAATATAAGTACTATCTAACGAATGAATACCACCGAGCGACTCCATCCAAGCATTCCACCTGGTAGATCCAACCCTCCTTTACATTTTATTGCATTGCTTTGCTTTACTTCTAAACTTGTCCGGCCAGACAAAAACTTGAGATAGTCAACAATAAACAAAAGAATCCGACCTGGGCTCAAATCAACTTCAATCCTCCTTGCCCACACCACGCAAGATTGCCAGCCTGCCAGCTTACTTGGGATTGGAAGTCGTGGAAAGGCTCATTTCACTTCACGTTATCTTCAAGAATAGGAAGTCACCTAGAGGCCAGATCTGTATTAAGCCTGTTTTGTTTCACTAATAGTAACTCCGCTCGAGTTACCCCTAGAATGACCAAATCCTCCCCTGGGTATTCGTGAACGCCGCTCTCGCCGAGCAAATGCAAAATCCATCGCAGCACCTGTGATATCGATCCTCCCACACTCCCACATGATGCAAACGCCTCACTCCTGGATATGACCACCTTCAATCTCTCTATGCAGCTAGCCTCGTATCTTGAGAGTCTACTGGAACGGAGCAAACGGTTTTCGTCCCTCAAACCGCGCTCTGTCGTCTACCTGGCCCATTTCAAGATTCTCATCCTTATCCTCAACCTCATCACGACTCCTCTTCGAACGCGATGTCACCTGCTGATCCTGCTGCAAAGACAACGCCCCATCTTCCCAAATTGATCTCTGCGCCACCAGGATGTCATGATAGCTCAGCAGCAAGTTCTTCAGCCCATCGTCGAACGCCGTGCAGAAGCGCAGCGCCTGGACGTATTGCATCGCCTTTACCATGTCCAAGCCGAGCATAGCCATGATGTACGCCACCACAAAGGCCGCCGAGCGCTCATTGCCCGACTCGCAGAAGACGAGGACTTTGCCGCACGGCATCGGCACTGCGCCGTACGTGTCGGCGGCTAGCATGCGGTATCGCGCAATGAGGTGGTCGTTAATGATCTTGGTGGCGCGGGGGAACGCGGCGATCAGCTCGCTGTTGCTAGCTACGTCTACGGCGCAGGATTCAATGCCGAGGGCGCGCGCGGACTTGTCACCGCTTAGCAGGCGGGCCTGGGCGCTGGAAGTGTTGCGGATGACGAGCAGCATAGTGACGCCATCCTTCCGCAAGTTCTCAAGGTCGCGGGTGGCGCTTGAGGGGCCGAGCTGTAGGAAACTAAGGATCGATTGTGACTTTCTGCGCATCAGGTAATCCCATTCGCGCATCGGGATGTGAAGATCTTGGAGGGCGTAGCTGGATATGATTGTATGTAGGATAGCGTTCTCATCAGCGTCGCGACCGGCGGTTTGGAAAGAAGGGGCCAGCTGGATACAAAACGAGTCGTCCTGCGGTTGTGGTACACTGATATGGGGTGGAGACGGGGCCTGGACAGAAGAGTCAGTCGATGTATTTATTTTCATCGTTCTAAAAAGTAATAGAGATGCACACACCCGGTAGCAGTAATCAGTCGCCGCCTGAGCTCCGGCCATATAGGAAATACCCCCTATTTTTGGTTCAGGTCCTTGGGCGGTCGTCAGGGTGTAAAATTGTCGGGGGTCGCCTGTCGACATTTTTGTATGGGTTTCGGGATTGTCTCGAAGATCAAAGAGCCAGAGTCGAGTCGAGTCGAGTCTTGTCGAGATAATGGCTGACGGCTTGATGGTATACGGTGTTTGCCACGGGAGAATTGTCGAGGGGCAGCAGTTGTGAGCAGTTGTAGGTTGTGGGTTGGTTACCGGTTCTTAGAGGAAGTGTTGACTCCGAACAAAGATCATTCACAAGGCGCGTCATCGTAAGGCTGCAGGTGCTTATCGTACTTAAGCGCGTAGCGCGTGGACAGGGGTTCACCGGGCACGTCGGCCGGATCCGGGCCAGGTAGAGAGAGCTCCGTACATAAATACTCTATTTAAGTAGTCCTTAAAAGTCTTGGTTTCTTTTTAAAACTGGTTACTTCAGTAATGATTACTAAAGGAGAAAGACGTAGACGTAGCGTAGAATTTTTAAAGGTCCAATTAGCTAGGTACCTATCTAAGGCTTCCTACACTCGATTTCTTCATCGTGCTCCCAGTCCTCGGAGGTGCCTTCGTGGATCTGATCGAGTCACCATCGCCAGCAGGTGTCGGTGCATGGTCACTATCAAGAGAAGAGAGACTCGTAACGCTGCTTTCCCTCATAAGAGGCGAAGGCACCTCTGGCGTTACAGAGCGAGAGCCGCCAGGGCCGAGGATCTGAGCTCTGCCTCCTGGGACGGTCTTTTTCCTCCTGCCAGGACCACTCGAAGCGCTGCTCCCTCTCCGAACATGTCCTATCTGCCCATCTTCCAGCTCAGTCGGGGTAGTGCTTCGAGACGAATTTCTGGAGTGAGATCCCGACCTGATGCTACTACTGCGGATACGCTTTGCATCTTTGTCGCGAAGGCTTCCCAGCTTGCTGACAGGGTTGGAGGTCTTCTCGATGTCATGAGATTTCCCACGCTTCCAGCCTCTATAGCCCGTCCACCATAACCACCCACCTTGCTCTTTGGCGAGCTTCCTTTCCCGCGCCTTTATCTTTTTCTGTAAAACCGCTCGTCGCTCATTCTCTTTCTCCCAATACTCGGTCCGGTAGGTGTCCCAGTTTTCCCTGAAGTTGGCAGAGAAAGGTTTGGGGAGCAAGAGCAATTTGACATAGTCTCCCCCGGGTGCTAAATCCTCTTCGTAGCCGACTGATTCTTCGCTCTCGTTAATATTAGATAGAGCGTGATGGCTACCCTTCCCCCGAGCCTTCTCCGACTCCCGCAAAAGTGACCGGTCCACAAATCGATACGAGCTCCCGCTGGTGCTGGAGATGAGACCGTAGGAGAAGAGGAACGACAGTGTGGAGAGTACATCCCGCCACATAGGCTGCTTGATGACCACCAGCTTGCAGTTGAAGCCTCTAAGCCCTCTGTTCGTGTTGTACACCCAACGCCGTGGCCAACGGAAACCCCTCTCCCATTGTCCGGTACCCCAAACGAGGATGCCCGTCACCACGCCACCCATCAGACAGACTTTTTCCGTCACCTCCACCACCCAGTATACAGAGCCTCCCACGCCGCTCCCGTCCTCTCGCGGCGCCAGGAACAGCGCATACCCAAAATACAGGACCCACAGCCCGAGTAACATCAAGAAGAACGTATGCTGGCGCCGCCTCGTTCGTAGCTGAAGCCATTGCGCGCGCAACGAAGCTTCGAGGATGAGGAGGTTTAGGTATATCTGCGGGGGCGAGGAGGGAAGGTTGGCTAGAGGGTCAGCCAGGGAGGGAGGATTCATCGGATCGGGGATTTGCACTCCAGTCGGTCCTGGGATATTGTATATCTTCTCCGGCGGAGGTGCTCCCTTGACAAGCTGATCTAGATTGGACATGGCGACGGGCGTAATCTGATTGTTGTCGCTATTGCGCTCTCATGGCTGAAAGGACTTGGAAGCCTATTGATGGAGAATTCGTTGAGTGGACAATAAAGGAGGGATGGAAAGGAGCTTCAGTTTATCATTCTAACTTGGGTAGTCTGGTGAGCGTGTCGGACTTAATGGGTATGTCGAGTCGAGGCGCTGACGATGTTGCTGTTTTCGTTTTGTTTCGGGGGAAAGACGCGAGCTGCTGTTTGTAGATAGAGTACTGATCCTACCGTACTCCGTACAGTACCGGTAGCTGTCAGCTTCCCTGAATCACTTCGAACCGCCTTCTGTCGAGTTTCTTCTACTCTTCTACCCCGAAGCGAAGGACATTTTCTGATGTTTCAAATGGCTTAAATTGAATGGTAAGTAGCTCGAGGTAACCTTAGGTACCTACCTTCCTACCTCTATGAGCGGGCATTGGCTAAAGCTCACCCATGCTGATTGCAGCTGCTCGGATTTAAGATTTTCTTGAGCCCCTCGACGACCAGACCACGTGATGCCATGGACTTTCGATTCCACCGCCGCCGGCTCGGGGATAATCGTCGGCTCGCTTAGGTGGGCCTCCTTTCATCCTTTCAGTCTTAGTCGGCATAAGCGATTGCGGATCGGAAGCGAATGCGGATTTTTTCGAATATGTTAGAAATTCTTTAATACTATAGCATTTATTACTACAATTAAGAAATATTTACATAAATAATTAATCGTTTATTATACCGTCTTCCGAAACATTTAAAATCGTATCATCCGATAAAACATTTGACTATCGATCATTATTTTCATTAGAATTTGATTCGTCTTTTACCTTACGCAACGAATCGTTTGAATCTCTATTATTATTAGAATTGAAGCTATCGCTATCGATATTAATGTTAAGAAAAGGAATAATATTTTGCTTTAAAGAAAGGTCTCCGGTAGTATCGGTTGTAATTATTAGATTATTATCATCGAGAAAAAGTTTAGGTTAAGAAAAAGTTGGTCGAGGAATACCTTTTTTACGAGGCCGCAGAATTTGACGTTTAAAAGGTTGTTGCATCTAACAAATCTCTTCCGAATCGAAAATTAAAATAAGTATTGAATCGTCGTTTTTAATAATTAAGCTTGCAGCGTTTTCGTATAATCTTTTTACGCTCGCGCTTAGCTTTGCGTAAATCGATTTCTTTATGATATTTAGCATTTTTGTTTTAAATTTTATCGGTGATTCATTATTATTTTACACTAGATTTAGAAATTTTTTAGCTTGCTGCTCAATAGCAAGCTTTTCATCGATTTAAAATATCAAACTATCGGTATATAAACACGTTTTCGGCTTATAATTAATGAAATACAATTAAATTATATTATTGTGAATTAAAAAGTAATGTTTTAAGTTGTATTTTGTATATAATAACTAGCAATAAAAGAAAAATCCGCATTCGCTTCCGATCCGCAATCGCTTATGCCGACTAAGACTGAAAGGATGAAAGGAGGCCCACCTAAGCGAGCCGACGATTACAGACGAGTGCGAATGTCGATGAACGAATGCGCCTCGTGGGATTTGTCCATCTTCCTTTAGTCTGGGATATCATTCGTTATCAGTTCTCATTTCACATCTCGCCGCGTTACCCAAAGAGACTGGTCGAGTTGCTTACTTAATTAAGTAAGTACTGATGTTTGCCACAACACCATCGTCATTACTCGGCTTTTGTTTTCTTCTCGCGTCGCACCGCCTTCGCCCTCGTCTCGCCTAAGTATTATATCTCAGGATCCCTCCCCAAGTGAACGGATCATACACACACATTGTCTCTATTCTCCCCGATATTCACCTTGTACCAACCATCCAGCCGGCCGTCGCTCCTGCGAATCATCTCAAGCGACATATTCGCAGGCCGAGCTACCTTGCGACACCTCTACACGCACAGAAGCAACTCGGCTTCCACGATTATGTCCTCAGACTCTCCGGCAGGCCGTTCGCAGCAGCCTATGTTAGCTTCCCAACGCGCGAAACAGACCAAAAATGACCCTCCAAAGGCTGGATACTTTCCCCTGGGCTACAAGGCTGCCCTCAGCCAGTGGTGGGCGAGTATCTCCCCAGCGGTTGCAGAACACAACGTTATGGCGTTTGTGCCATACCTCCAGAAGCCGCCGACACATACCCAGACCGGCTCTGCACCAGTGTCTGCGCAACGGTCGAGTAACTCCCTGGTGATGGACCCTGCGAACGAGGCCACACCAGTCAGAACCAACTCCATAAACGATCCGTTCGGGCCTCGAGCATGGAACTCAAATCTGGTACCATTAAGCGGCAAGGACAGAGCCTTGAATGAATTCACCGTAGAACGAATCGGAGAAGAAGTAGAGGAGAATCTGGTCATGCTACATGGATACGGCGCTGGCCTTGGATTCTTCTATAAGAACTTCGAGGGGCTGAGCCGGGTCAAAGGGTGGAAACTATACGGTCTGGACATGCTGGGAATGGGACGGAGTAGCAGACCTCCCTTCAAAGTTCATGCCAAAGACCAGGCGGGACAGATCGCAGAGGCCGAAAACTGGTTCATCGATGCTTTGGAAGAGTGGCGAATACTGAAGAAAATCGATAGATTCACCCTCCTAGGACACAGTATGGGAGGCTACATGGCTGTGGCATATGCACTGAAATACCCAGGACATCTCAACAAGCTGGTCTTAGCTTCACCAGTCGGTATTCCGGAGGACCCATATGCCATACAAGCCGATATGCCGGAACCAGAAGAGTCAGCGTTGGCCAATGAGTTCACGCAAGACCAAGAAGATGACATTGTAAATACAGACGGTAGGCTCAAGAACAACGGCGATAACAACAACTTCCTCAACGCCAAGTCCAAAGCAAACACCAAGAATTCAGACGCGCCTCCTCGCAGACCAATCCCGAAATGGCTTTCTTACCTCTGGGACGCCAATATCTCCCCCTTCAGTATTGTGCGCTGGACAGGACCCCTCGGTCCACGAGTCGTCTCTGGCTGGACCTCGAGACGATTCTCTCACCTGCCACCGGATGAGTCGGAGGCGCTGCACGATTACGCATATTCGCTTTTCCGTCAGAGAGGCAGTGGAGAGTACGCCCTCGCTTATATCCTCGCCCCTGGCGCCTTCGCCCGCAGCCCGTTGATAAGAAGAATCCATGGCGTCGGAAGACAGCCCCTACCGCCTCCATCTCAAACAGAGCAAGTAGACGGCACAGCCGCTTCGTCTGTACAAGCTGCAGCGCGAGCTCTGACCAAGGAGACGGGTATCCCAGTCGTTCTCATGTACGGCGAGAACGATTGGATGGACGTTGCTGGCGGTTACGCGGCCGAGCAAAAACTCAAAGAAGAGAAATCGAAAGCGTTGAAGAGCGCTACGGCCGAAGAGAAGAAGTATGAGAATGGGAGCGCGAAAGTGGTGATTATCCAGAAAGCGGGGCATCATCTGTATCTGGATGGGTGGGAGCAGTTTAACGAGGTAATGAGGGGGGAGATGGAAGACACGAAGAGGGATACGAAGAAGTTTAACGGGCTTTAGTGGCACATGGAAGGAGTGCGCTGGATGGTTTGCAGCTCTATTCAGAAGAGCTGAGCGCAAAGATTGGATTGCTTTGTTTTTTGTGGGGGGGGGGGGGGGGGGAGGGTCTTGCTGGTGTTAAGCGAGTTTTAGGGGGTTGAAGCGAAGGACAGGCCAAGCCAGTTGTATCAACAATGGCATTTGTGAGTACCTCCTAGACAGCATTTCACAGCCTCGCGGCGAGGAATAAATTGACCATCCACCATTCATTCCACCCTGATATCATGTGCCCATCCACAACATCCAACTCTCGCTCTCATAAGTTCTCACCCTCTCCCCCCCTTCGCCCCCCACCCTCCTCCCTCCTCCCTAACCCAACCCCTCATACTCTCCAATCGCCCTCACCTTCCCCGCGCTCGCGCTCGCCTCGTCAAAACGATAGGCCAACCACTCCCTCACCAGGCGCCGCGCGAGCTCGAGCCCGATGACGCGCTGGCCCAGGCACAGCACCTGCGCGTCGTTGCTCAGCACGGCGCGCTCGACGCTGAAGCTGTCATGGGCCGTCACGGCGCGGATACCGCGCACCTTGTTGGCGGAGATGGCGACGCCCAGGCCGGTGCCGCTGGTGGTGGGGATTCGTCAGCCTCGTTCTTGGGGGAGGAGGGAGGGAGGGAGGAGGAGAGCGGAGAGAGGAGAGGGGGGGATAAGCAGAGTGGTGATTTGATGAGATGGATATCGGCGTCGGCAATGGCGGCGGCATTGGCATTGGCATTGGCATTGGCGTCGGTGAAAGAAAAAATGAAAAAGAAGACGGAAAAGGGGGAAATAAGACGGGTTACAAGACGTGGCTAGGGTAGGCCTATGTCTTTCTCTTACCAGATCAACAGGGCGCGGTCCGCCTTGCCGGCCTGCACCAGCCGGGCGGCCTCGACGGCGAAGTGCGGGTAGGCCGTCTTGTCGGTGGCCGAGAGGGGGCCGACGTCCTGCACGGAGGCGACGAGCGGGGAAGCGGCGAGGTCTGCCGCGAGGAGGGCCTTGTAGTCGAAGCCGGCTGTGGTTTTTTTTGGGAGAGGGGCCCCTTTTGGTTAGTTGTTGTTATTATTGGTGGTGGTGGGGAGGTTTCTTTATATTTATGGCATGGATGTGTGTGTTTGTGTGTATGTGTATCTCTCTCTTGGTTGATTGATTGATTGGGTCTTTTCCTTCAAGAGGAATTGGAAGATTGGGGAACGGAAATGGGAATGTAAATCGAGGAGTGGATAAATGGGATTAGAGAGAAGGAGGGAGATCTGGGATAGGTGGCGAAGGGCAGGGAAGGTTAGGAAGGGTGGAAAGGGAAGTGAAGTGAAGTGAAGGGAAGGGAAAAGAGATAGATAAGGTAGTGCTCGAGATGTGTACACAGATAGAATAAATCCTTTTACCATCGTCACCGCCGACTACAATTCGAAGAGGCGGTTTCGCCTCTGCTGTTGATGATGTCTCTCCCGCTGCCATTTTTCCACTGACCGAGTTGTGGTGGTACTTCAAGGGTTGAAGGAAGGGGGTAGGTAAGGAGGTAAGTAAATACCAGCCTTGGGGGCTTGCAAAGTAGACGGATGGTAGGTAGATTGATAGGTATAAGGCTTTAGTCGGACAGAGGAGTGAGAGGGAGAGAGAGAGAGACGAAGATAGAGATGGAGGATGGAGGATATTGGTCTCCATTTCAGTCCTGCGTTCTTTTATTTCCTTTCTCTTTTGATTGGAACGGCGAGGGAGAACAGCTTGCATTCATGTAGTACAACCCACGCCACCCAGCTACCCCGTCGGGACGTTGGTGGCTTAAAGCGAAACTGATGGATCCATGGGAGTGGGATGGAGGGATGGATCATGGGCCGGAGCCGGAATGGCCAAATGGGGTAATCCGCTGGCGGGGGGAGAGGGGAGGGGAAGCTTGTAAGACTCGGAGTTGTCGCCGAGTTTCATCTACTTCTCGTGCTGTACTGTACTGGTTTCCCTTTCTCTCTTCCTCTCGTGTGTACTGTATGTTTTCTCGGCTGTCTGACTTGGCTCTATTAGCGAATTGTGAAATATCAGTCGGATCGCTTTTCTTGAGACCGGGCTTTTTGTCTGTTTGTTGGCTTATTTACGATTCCTACCAAGTAAACTTATAAACAGAGAGACTGAGAGGAGGGAAAGAGAGACTTCCATAACCTTCAGTATACTCCTCTGCTCAGCAATCGACCAGCGTCCCAGCCCAGAAAACACAACCATGGCTTCCAATCCCGATATCCACTCCCCTTCCCACATCCACCCCCAACTCACCGTCGCCGTCTCCCTTAAAATGTACTTCTCCCTTCTCCAAACAACAAACTACATACAGTCCTGCACCGCTCTCGCCCCCCTCGCCCTCTCCCGGCACATCGACCTCATCATCATCCCAGACTTTCTCTCCCTCTCCTCCGCTAGCACCACGATCCAGCTCTACGCGCCCACCATCCGAATCGGCGCCCAGGACTGCTTCTGGGAAGACCGTGGCGCCTACACGGGCGAGGTCTCCCCGGCTTCACTGCACGAGCTCGGGTGCTCGGTCGTGGAGCTGGGGCACGCAGAGCGCCGGCGGCTGTTTGGCGAGGGGGACGCGATGGTGGCGAGGAAGGCGCAGGCCGCGGAACGGAATGGCTTGATGCCGTTGGTCTGCGTGGGTGAGCGCCAGAGGGGGAGTTTGGAGGGTGCGCTGGGGGAGTGCAGGGCTCAGGTTGAGAGTGTGCTGGCTGTTACGCGAGGCGAGGTGATCTTTGCGTATGAGCCTGTGTGGGCCATTGGGATGGAGGTGCCGGCCGACCCGGAGTATGTGGTTGATGTTGCGAAGGGGTTGAGGGCATTGTGTGGGGAGAGGAAGGTGAGGTTTCTGTATGGGGGGAGTGCTGGGCCGGGGACTTTTGGGAAGATGAAGGAGGAGGTTGATGGATTGTTTTTGGGTCGGTTTGCCCATGATGCTCAGGCGTTAGGAGAGATTATTGGAGAGGTGGGATCTGGTTTTTTGGGGGGCTCTGATCAGTAGTGAAGATTAGGATTTAGATGGAGCCAAAGCCAGGAGGAGCATTGTGGTATGAGAAGGTGATTTGTATATGTATCGTTGAGATGCATATCGAGTTTCAGGACGGGCTCCAGACTCAGAAGAATATCAACAAAGATATCAGAATATACCAGGACAAAATCTCTGCTGGCTACATCCTAGTAAGTGAATCGCTAATACTCGGTTATCTATCAGGTCTTCAAATGCAGCTTCCACGAGTAGGCAAGGAAGGGAGTGCAAAAATGCACGCTGAGAGAGTAGAGTGATGCCTGTGAGATCTGCTTAATGACCGAGAGTCACGATCCCGAAATCAGAGAACGATGAATAGCCAGATTTGCGAGAACCAGGTGACCACCACAGAGAGAACAGTTCGGAATATGCTAAGAGAACAATGGCTCGGCCCAGATAAGCAACTATGAGAAAATTCAGAAGCAGCAATGAGGACAAATGGAAACACGCGATGCGAGTTTGGCCAAAATCGCGTGTTAATCGAGTCCTCACTCACCACGCCTGCCTCAAGCAATCCTCACCCGCTGCAAACTCACAACCACAGTAGTATCTTCGTAGTTCTATGATTACAGCAGACGCGGTTTCCCGGGATGACGGCAGTCAAAAATTTCTTCTGCCGTGCCGTATATCAGCACATCTCGGGCACCAGTTTCCTTCACTCTCTGCCGCCGAGCGGATGTCTCGGCAACGGGGAGAATCTGATTACTGCGGGGTCCCGGTTCCCGTTTCCAGAGTCAGTAGATAGGGGTATTGCGCTGTCCCTGAGGCTCGTTGCGTTGGCGAGGGTGCAGCATGTCTGGGGAACCTGAGACCTGAATGCAAATATCCGAGAGGTGAGACGCAACAATATCATCTGCATTCATTCAAGTGAGGTAAGTATTTAAGGGATGTAAATCCAGCAAGCTCGAGGAGAGTAGGCATAAAGAAATGAAGAGGAGCGGTCCGAAAGATGCATGTTTTGTGCGACATATGTGATGTTGTTAATCCAATGTAGACGTCGATTGCGAAACAGCGGGAGCATTGCTGCATTGAGCATTGTGCGAGCAAAGCTCGCTCGTAGAGCATCAGCCATGCATAGCCAGCCCTAAACATATCTCTCTATAGACTCGTAAAGGGTCGTTACGCGGGTAAAGGCCATGTGCTGAGCCGTCTCTTCGTGTCTAGCCCCCGTTACCGCTAGTGAGATGGTAAAGCTGGTGTGATAGTAGACGTTTCTCAAGTCGGACGGCAAGATGATTGTTTGCTGAAGCTATTCTATACTATCCTATCCTGTTAGATACGTTAGATTCTCGAGAAATGCGGGGGCGGCGTTGAGATGGCGTGAGCATGCATTTGCTCGGATGCTGTGCTAGAGGCAACTGCTTGCCTGCCTGTCGCAGAGCTCCGAGATATCTTGAGATTGAAATCTGCTCCTGCACAAGCCCGCGGCTGTGAAATGCGACCTACCCTACCCTATCATCTATCAGACGGGGACGAAGACCCGCACTCTACAAAGTAGTTAGTTATTGGATTCTGATGTTTTGGGTTTACAGATATGGACAATGGAGATGCACTATTCAAGAAGTTCCGATATCTCGGCGTTTTACAGCGAAGCTGTGAACTGGGTTCTGTCGGAGGATTCGAGTGCATAGGGGAAACGTGAGTTGTCAATAAACATGATCCAACATTCAATGGCAGCGGATACGGGCTTTTGAGCGATAGCCCGTACCTGACAGCTGAAACTAGGATTGCCAGTCGTCAAGCCAAGGATATGCGTATGTGCCCGAAAACAGAAAAGGCCAGCGGTCTCGTCCAACACAACGCGGCATATGATAGATGCAACGGTGATAGATTAGATGGGAGGCCGGCAGCATCGACAACATGCAAACTCTCCACTTCAGAATATCGCCCAGCCATGAGTCGGAGAAGTGGGAAAGGAGACAAGATAGACGAACTGCCCATAACCATGGTTTCTCGAAAAGATGGCTTGCACATATCTGTGGTGTAACTCGGTCACCAATGCAATACCCTGCCGTGACTCGGCGGGATATGTTTCGAAAATACAAGGCAGTGAGGTCTGAAAGAGCCGCATGAGATATCCAGCCGAGGACACTGTCGGTGTTCCTGCGACTTGACTTGCCCGATAGTATCGCGACGTTCCACACGGAAGTAGTTGGTCGACTAGGTGCCTGCACTATATTGCCATCATCAAGTGAACGAAAGCCGTATCCAAATTAAGGTAAATGGAAGAAGTCAGCCACACCGTACTACAAGCTTTTTCTCTTTGATCAGCCCGTACCGTAAGATATTTAGTTGGCTATCAAGAAGAACGGCAAGACAGAATTGATAGTTCCACCACTCACGAGAAACTCGACACGAGGCCGGAGGAGTACCTACATACTACCTACAGTGCAGACAGGCTCTTCATATAAGCAGCAGCAGCAGCACAAGTGTACCAGGAAACACAAGCAATATTCAGGGCTTCGGAGTTCTTTGAGGGGCCCCGGCGTGGCGTGGCGTACCGAAGCCGCGTATCACGTGTGACTAACTGAGCGCTGTCGTTGAAAGGGAGGTAGTGGAAGCGAGATCGAGAGCGAGGGCAAGGAATACCGTAGTAAAGAATGGATACCGGTATGTGGGATATGTTGGATATGTTGAACATGTTGAATAAGTTGGAGGATTTGAATTTGTTGGATATTGGATAGAAATATTTGAGGATGCTATAGGTAAGGTAGTTAACAGCTGATCCATACTTAGTAATCAAATATGGCCGCCGCCAAGAGCCATGGGTTGGATCTATATCTATCTATGTATCTATATATATATTATGTGTTTTACCCTGGCGCCCCTTCGTTCTTCTGGTCGTTTAATGTGCTTCGAGCTTTCATACTGTATTGCACGCTTCCTATTTCCTACACGAATTTGGAGGGATGTGGCGTGCAACGGATGCATGTAAGGACCGAAGTGGTGTTGTCGTGATCGAAATAGTTGACCATATATGTAGGTGAAGCTGTAGATACGTATGTTTACCTCTGGGAATGAACTAGGATCATGATGTGTAAAGCTTGAGTCTAGGTACCTGTAAGGGGAGGATGGGTAGTATCTGCTTACTTCTCTATCAATGTCACTCCTGCTCCTGCTCCTGCTGCTGCTATTCCATTTCCAATGGCTCTTCCCCACTGTCCCACTATCCATATGTCCCAATATCTCGATATCCCCCCAAGTCCAGTCTGTATCCGTTCCTATCAACTCGTACTCCCTGATCCTACGTTGCACATCTACATGGCAAGATCTTCAGGCTATCGGTGCGACTTGAGACATAAGACTTGAGAGTCCAAGCTTGAAAAAGGCTTATGCAGCCAGCCACTGACTTCTCACCACTCAACGCCGTCGCCAGAGCTTGTTGATGTGCGGAGGACAGTCCTAGTAGGAATAGGGCTAACAGGGCCTCAAGGTGGACCACCCTTATCGCTCGCAGGTGGTCGTCTCATCGGAGAGTGGGATATAATATTCACGTCGTCCCAAACCTCACCTCACTTTGATTTCACCTCCACCTCGTCTCATCTCGTGTGATCGCGAAAGTTGTGTTGTTGTTTGTTGTGCTGTTAGATGCCATCGACATATTGGCTTCGTCAGTCGGTCAATCAGGTGATACTACCCATACAAATCACGTCAGACCGAATACTCGGTCGCGCCCGATATTCAAGCGAGATCGGAATAGCGCGATTTTGTGTTCAAATTCGACTTTGAAATTCCGACTCCGACCTCGACCTCAACCTCAAGTTCTACCTCAACTCCGACCTGAACTTCTGCTTCATCCCCACCCACACTTCGACTTCCACTTTCTCTTCTCCTCTTCGATATCTCATCGACAATCTCAGTCTGAATACACACACTACGTTCCACACACTCCACAATACGCACTCCATCATGGCTGCCGAGCACGAGCCCGATGTGTCAAGCGCACCCGCCTTCAGCCCTGGCTCCTACGAGATGCAGAATATCACTTCGGAGTTCGAGCAACCTGTGATTTCCCTCAACCTTCCCGCCAAGAAGAAGTACCGTCAAGTCAACATGGGTAGGTTTGGTCCCATCTGGTATGCCTCGCCCAAGGTCCAGCTTCTCCTAGTGGCCCTGGTGTGCTTTTTATGCCCTGGAATGTTTAACGCCCTGAGCGGGCTTGGAGGAGGTGGTAGAGACGATTCAGTTCTGGCGGATAAGATGGTAAGCATAAAGTCACAATCTCCTCAGCTTGGTGGTGAGTGAGTGGAAGACTGATGGCTATCTCAATCAACTAGAACACAGCTCTCTATAGCACGTTCGCTATCTTCGGTTTCTTCGGTGGCACATTCGTCAACGTAATGGGTGTCAAGTGGACGCTGGCTGTTGGAGGCTCGGGTTACTGCCTTTACTCCGTCAGTCTTCTGGTATCAACTCTTCACGACGTCGATGCCTTCAACATCTCCTGCGGTGCTTTTCTCGGTATCTGTGCCGGTCTCTTGTGGACTGCGCAAGGAACTATCATGACCTCCTATCCCCACGAGAGTGCCAAGGGTAGATACTTCGCATATTTCTGGGCTATCTTCAACATGGGCGCAGTCATTGGAAGTCTGGTAAGTAAAATCGTCCTCCATAGATCCAAACTCTTTCACCTTCCCCTTATATAAGTTCATCACCTGAGACTTCTCTAGATTCCGTTGGCCCAAAACATCAATGTTCGGTCCAACACAACTGTCAATGCTGGAACCTACATCGCCTTCATCGTGCTCATGGGTTTTGGTAGCCTTCTAGCCTTGTTTATCTCGAACGCATGGGATGTAGTGCGTGAAGACGGCACCAAAGTCGTTCTCATGCAGAATCCAACCTGGCAGTCCGAGTTCGTGGGGCTATGGGAGACCTTCTGTTACGAACCATCGGTAATCCTTCTCTTCCCCATGTTCTGGTCCTCCAACTGGTTTTACACCTACCAGCAAAATGGTATGAACGGTATCCATTTTGATACCCGCACAAAAGCTCTCAATAGCTGCCTCTACTTCATGGCCCAGATCTTCGGCGCTATGGGTCTTGGTTACGCTCTCGACTATCAAGGTATCCGTCGCTCAGTCAGAGCTAAGCTTGCCTTGGCCTTCCTCTTTGTCATGACTATGGTCATCTGGGGCGGTGGTTATGCGTATCAGAAGGGCTATACTCGTGCGAGTGTTGCAGACCCCCACTTTCAGCCAACCGACTGGACAGACACTGATTACCCTGCTCCCATGTTCCTCTACTTCTTCTATGGCCTTTACGACGCCCTCTGGCAAGCAGCTGTCTACTGGTAAGAGTCCTTCCCCCAGCTGTGGACTGGCCTACTGACACTTCACAGGTTCATGGGTGCTCTCTCCAACTCCGGCCGCAGAAATGCCAACTACGTCGGCTTCTACAAGGGCATCCAATCCGCCGGCGCAGCCGTCATGTGGTCCCTCGACGCTAGGAAGATTCCCCTAATGGACGAGTTCCTCTCCAACTGGATCCTCCTCACCGTATCACTAATCCTCGCTATCCCCGTCATCTTTCTCAAGATCAGAGACCGCACCGTGGACGAGGACAAATTATTCGGCACTGGCGAGACTCTCACCGATGTCCTACCTACTGGAAATCCCAAGGAGACTAACGTCTGAGTACACTCGCGTGCAAATCCGTGTGCAATTTGAGACAGGCATCGCACGGTACTTGTTTCGGATTCATTTAGTTTGCTTCGCTCGGTGGAGGACGGAAGCAAGTAGGCTTTTATGATGATAATGATGCTTTTGCGAGGGGATATCCCATTGAATGAATGCTAAATGATCATGACTTTCTTCAACTCTGCTTCTTCTGCCTGAAACATTATTCCCATTATGTTAGTGACCAACTACCCGTTCATATCATTTCCAACACCGTGAAAGACAAACTCGTAAGTGCAAGTAAATAAGCACTTTTCACCATTTTCTCCCTGACTCTTAAATCAACCCCACGACTATCGACATATAGGTACATACTGCCATCCAAGACCTAGCGCGGCACACACACCACTCTCCTCCCTCTCTGTCGTCAATTCTGATTCTTGGCTCTGCTCACATCAGTCGCGCATAGATCTATCCCTTATCCTCCATTCCCATCCGCAATCCGCTGAGCGCCTCTGAGCTGAGCTGAGCTTGCGAATCAAGATTTGGTTTGCTGTATACTGCACAATATCCCATCCCAAGGACCTTACTTACGAAGCACAGGAGAATCTCGCCTTCCTACCTACCCACCTACCGACCCACCTACCGCGTTCACAGTTCGAGGAAATCATATCTAAGGCTGAGGGAGGGACCGCGATAAGGGATTCGGGATCTGGTCTATACATATATAGGTCCTATTCGCCGCGTGGGAAGGGGCTGAGGGATTGCAGATTTTAGACCTGCTTGCTTTCCCAGGAAGTTGAACGGCGAGCGAGGGGCATACATACACACATACACATACACATACACCCACACAGGTGCGCGCGCGCATAGGTCTGCTATACGGGGGATACCTGCTGATATGAATTCAAGAGATTCATTGGGGAAAGAGCGGAAATATGGGGCGGGGGGGGAGATTGGAGGGTGTATATCATATATGGATAAAAGAATCAGACGTCTGGACAGCTGACGGATTGATGGAGAGATGGGTGGGTTGATAGTGCTTCTTCAGGAACAACCTTGCCGATTGTTAACTATGGCTCATCAATTGTTTACTTGCGGTCGGCTAAGTTCGTTAACACTCGGTTAATTCGTCAACACTCGGTTAATTCGTCACCACTCGGTTAGGTCGTTAACACTCGGTTAGGTCGTCAGTACTCGGTTAGGCTGTGAATACTCGGTTAGGACGTTAACACTCGGTTAACCCCTTACGCTCGGTTAAGCACTACCGCTCAGCTATGCGAGATTTGGCTAGATTACGGGTACTAGGGGCTGTTCTGCGGGCGCTACAAACACTTGGGTTACAACTTCGCTGTTTGTACTGAGAGGTAGATTGATAGGCAGGTGGGTCTTGATTTTTCAATGCTGATTAGTAGTGAGAACAAAATTATCTTCTTGAAGTATTGAGGATGAGCAGTTAGGAGATGGGTCCCCATGCTGGGAGAATAAGAAGGATATGGTGAGTGTGCATATTTGGGCTAGGTAGGTGCGATAGTATTGTTTTACCTTTATCGCTGATAAAACCCCGGCTCGATCAATCTCTGCTGATATATATATTCTTTAGATCCGAGATTTCCGTATTTTACTTTACTGCAGATGCAAAATTCTGCTTCCACCTCAGCTAAGAACGCACTGGCGCCTACCTAGCGTCACAATGTGTCCGTTTGAAGGAGCCGGTGTATTGGCTCGGCGCAAAGCGTAAAGGGGGAAAAAAAGAGAAATAAAAAGAGGATCTTCACCTTCCGCGTGGATATAATCCTTCCGTCGAAATTCTACTCACCTCTGTATAGATCCAAATCCGAATAGAATTCACCGTGGAAAACATATCTCCACCTTCGTCATGCCTAGAGAGAGGACTTGGCATGCCCGTCCGAACGTCGGGGTCACAAGAGCGGCTCTTCCGCTGTGATCTGCATGCAAGACGTTTTGATGTCGGCTAGATATGACCCATATTTTGGTCTTGTATATGCTAAATTAAGGTTAGTAAAAAGCTGCGAGTCGATTCTGATGATTTCTTTTTTCTTTTTTCGAGAACAGGGCCCGATCATTTAACAAAGAGAAGAGACTCTGAGGAGCCGAGGTAAGAATTACGGAGTAGGGTCAAACTGGTAGGCGTGACTCATGAGGCCGGAGCGGAGGTCGCGGGAGGCTGCATGTTGATACTGATCTTCTCGGTCCCTTCCTCCGTGGGCGAAACAATTCGCTGAAATGCCAACATTTTCCTGCTCCTCTGCTAACCATGCGCCAGTAGGTCAAACTATCGGCTACTCTCCGTCGCACGGGAGGGTTAATTCTAGTGCCTTTGAATCCGCGCGCTATGCTCTAATGCAGCCCCTGGAACCCTCCTTTTCGCCTGCCAGGCTGCCGCATTCGCATTACGATATACGGAGTACCCTAATCGCTATTCTGTCTGCTGTCACAATTTATGGGCTGGTCGCTGGATGATAGAGAAATATTTACAGCAGCAGCCGATATAAAGCGAATCCTCCCGGACACCTCCAGACAGCGCCCGGCTCTGCATAGCATGTACATCTACATGAATGTTCGAAAAAAGCCGGGCTCGGCTCGGAGTTTGATAGAAGTTGGAGACAGGCAGGTCCAACAAAAGAGGAAATTTGGGTCGGTAAATCCCGAGAGCAGAAGTGGACCGACCTTGGTAGTCGCACTTGCAACCCAAGACGGACACCAGTCGTCCATGCTACCGGGTCCAAGGGTCAGGGTCTGGACTCCGTAAGGTATTCATTTCGCTGTATCCACGTGGGCGCTTCAACTTCACGGACGAGACCATCTTTCTCTAAATCAGGCGGGAGATCGGCGGAACACTGCAGGATCGGCCGAGGTCAAGCAGGGTGACATTGCTTCTTCTCGCGCCGTAGCAGGCTGCAGACCGGTATGTACGGAGTAGGAAGTTATACGCACTCCGTAATACACTACCTAAGCGGTGTATCCTGGGCGTTAGTGGGTAGGTGGTACTGTTCAGCACAAGAGACTACTCGGGTGTAATGGCAAGAATTGAGAATAACAGGATCACAGAATTCAAGTTGTCCGAAGAATAGACCGATGGCTATAATTTCAAGTGTTTTGGGCATTGGTAGATCATTATCCACTAGCCTCGTCTCGCCTTTTGCTCCCGTCGCGGCTGTGGTGAGACACCCGCAGCATCCGCCGAAAAGCACAAATGATTGTTTGCTTGTATCATCTGTATCTCTCGATCCACAGCAGCCCCAACAACTACGGAACTCGAAGTGAAGGATATAGTAGCATCGGCTCTTCTCCCTGCTTACTCATCCTCATCGCCTGACTGTAAACTACCGCTGTAGATGCAGAATGCATATGCGGGCGCAATATCTTATTCGGAATCAGCCCACGACATCTGGTCAGGAGCAGCGGCAAACATACGGAGTACAGAGTAGTGGAACCAAAGTAAGTTCTCTCGATGTGAGGCTGGATCGCCCAGTTCCAAGGCACAAGTGCATAAGTCACCAGCTCTCACTCAGCCATGGCACTGCAGGACACGCTCGCACAGCCAATATAATATCAATTGACAACTTTGCCCAGCCAGCGTCGCACAGCACAGCAGGCAATCTCTGACCCTATGGTCATTCGAATGTTCGATGCAGTGTCAAAAGAGGGGAAACTGAATCGATGCATATCAGCGATGATAGATGGGAAAGTAAACAATCACCACCTTACGCATGTGGCCAACTCAGACATTTGAAAACGACGGCGGCGACGACGGAAATGACATTTGTCGTTGAACAATCCTGAATCCTGATGCTCTGTTCTACCTATTCCCCTCCTACCCTGTTCCGAATGCCCATCTCCCAGGTCCATGGCCAGCCTTGCTATCATGGTCATTTCCAAGTACATACATGTCATGCAGCGTATAAAGTGACATGTCGAATTTTCTCTTACCTCAGCCAACGTCCGTATTCTTCAGCAATTCTACTCGGCGTGGGGGGGGTGGTTCGTCTTGCTAATTATCGTGAGGAAGGCTATGTCTTTCCTTCCCGAGACATGATCAGAAAGAATGCCCGGTGCCTTCAAAGACGATGCTTTATCGGACCTTCTTCTCCACATAATTACTCAGGGAAAAAACTTGGAAACAGAAACTATCTTTCACTAATCTCTGCCCTGGCGGCGATCACATATTGGGTATGAAGCCTCCGAGGTTTGTTGTCTAAGCCTGGGTTTGAGACATCCCACTTGAGAGGGGATACATGCACGAGGTATCCAAGACAATCATTTGATGACAGCTCGAGGCTGAGGGTTCGGAATGTCACCTCATCAAATAGATACGTGTATACCTATGTATGTATATATATTCGGCCGGAACTCCCGCCAAGTAGACTCAACGCTTACTCAAAAGACATCTCCACACCTCCAAAGAACGAGATTTCTCCCATCAGCCAGCAAAACATCCTCTCTTCGCTCAACTTCAACCTTGTACTATCCACAAGCGTCCCAAAACTCCGCCGCACGCCCTCAACCACCTCCCAAGCATCAATCACCATGTGTCTCCAAGCGCCAACGAACAACACACCCACCCCCTCCATGGCAATCACAGTCCCCAAGCCGCTCGTCAGCCACTGCTGCGGCTACTGCTGCAAAGAGGAGCACTATGGAAACCACGAGCTGTGCGGCTGGTGCGAGAACACCAACTGCCTCTGAATGAATGAATGAATGAATGAGTGGTCGACCCGACCAGCCACCATCGACCATCTTCGTCTCATCTCGCACAAAATCTGTGTACCCACCCACACGCGGTACCACGGAAAGCCTTCCAAACCCATCCTACTCACGATCAAAAGCTCCCTCGCCGCCGTTACCCGTCTCGCTTGTACTACCTATCCGACCCGATCCCAGAAGCAACGAACCGTCTTTACGACCGTCGACCATGGATTTGGAAATCTATCCACCCCCAACACCAACCCCTAAGAGCGACCCGACCATCGACACCTCTTCCGTACTCCACACGCAGCAACACCACCACATCGACCCCTCGCTCTCGCTTACGGTGTTAAGTCTCAGTCCCCCCACCTGTCCCGACTCCTGGCTCTCCGTCCGCCTCTTGCAACCCGGGCTCCTGTAACCACCACCACTTGTACTTCATACACACACATATCATATCCGGACTGCCTTCATGCTTTCATGCTTTCAATTCGGCGCTGGAGGTTCTGCTTTAGGGAGCGAGGGGAGGGGGGCTTGGCATCATCGACAACACGGGCATCTCCAATCTGGGAAGTGAATTTTTTGCACCCCTTAGCGCTGATCACGAATATCTGTAATACCTGCGATAACTTTCCGACACTACTATCCATAGGGCTGGCGATCTGCCAGGAGTCTTATCTATCCATCTTTTCTGTGCTCGCTGATTTGTAGTCGCTGGGCATTCTCGCTTGATGTGGTCCTTGTTATTTGTTTTGGTTACTTAGCTTAGCGGCAGTCGACGGAAGGGATTCAAATTGAAATTGCAATTGAAATTGAGTTCCCGGATATCGAAATCCACGTTTCCAGCCTCTGGTAACAAGTCTCATCCGTCTGTTTCCAGATCCACATCGAGTGAGTATGCAGGGCTACGTATGGGAAGAGGAAGATAGATATACTTACGATACTACATTTCCCACGCCCCCCTCCGAGGCATAAGCTCCGACCTGGACAGCTACATTAGGTACGTAGTGCATACATACACGGCTCCATCCACAGTCCAAAGCCGCGAAACATAAAGAAAAGGCTATATAGACACTACAATCCAACACGACTATCTCCTGATCCCCAATCTCCCTCTCCCACCTAGAACCTTACACCAGTAACACACGCACACACCCCCAATCTAATCCAATCCGATCCGATCACTCATGAAAATAAACATCGTAATACTATTTCTTCCTCGACGCACCTACCCCCACCGAACCAAACCCAATCAATCACCTTTCGAAACCCCCACGCCCTTCCCCCCTTATACTACTATATCTACTACAATTTCCCGCCAGATAAAAAAATAACCATGGTTTCAGATTTTCTCCAGATTTCCTCCCAGACCAGAAAGCAACAACACACTCCCCCCCCTTAACCCACTTACCCATTCAAGACACACAAAGGTACTACGTACCTTACCTACCTTACCCACCGAAAGTCAACCCCCAACCGCGAAACGCC